ATACAGGGCTGGGCATGTATTTGAAATACTTTTATTTCCAAAACCAAATTTTCTCGATTCTCAAAAATTAAATATAATAATTTCTAAATCAAATATGTATTTGTTTTCTCTTTCAATTTATTTATTTCTTATGAAGAAATTGTACGACGTCCTGTTCGTTCGCATTCGGGAAATAAGGATCCCAGGTAGCACAAAAAGAATTCAGTCGTATGTCATCAATTTCGAGTTCATTTTCAGATGCAAAAAGAATTCCTTTCAGAATTGTTCAGAAAAAGAATTCTTTTTGTGTCTAAAAATGACTTCTAAATTAACAACTGAACATGACATAACAACTGAATTCTTTTTTAATTCTTTTTAAACTTTCTATGCCACCTGGGATATCTTCACCATTCATTCACCACTCACCTGAAGAACGAAAGGCACAATTGCTTTCATAACTCGCGGAGATCTTGACTCGCTGGTCCAGTGGCTGGACCCGCGTTTAATTCGTGACAACTAATTAAACGTTCAAACTACTAGCGTGCCCCGCACTCACGCGTAGTCACTCAGATAGAGAACAACAACAGCAGCAGCAGCGGCTATCGGCCTCATTGATGACCTGAACGCGAAGATGCGGCAGAAGACATGCGATAGAAACGTCAGAGGGAAGGCTACATGACAGACGGCGGCGTACACCTGCCTACCTCGTGCAAGCAGGCCGCTTTCATTACTGCCCGTAATCAGCCGCGGCCCGGTCGATCGTCCGCCCATGCGACGAGGCGACCCGTGGCGATGCTCTTCATGTGGAAGAAAAAGTGTAGCCCGCCAGCCTGTACGGGAGAGAAGATGCTATACATGCGGCAGTGGCGGCTAACTGTCTCACCTCACCTAAGTCCTGGCTCTTCATTAGATTTCCAGTTGTACAGAATGCGATTGCGATCGTTTGGACGAAGACTTTTAATTTTGCAGAAGCGACCCGAAAATGAGAGGTTTCACTTAAATAATTGCGATCTAAAAAGGAATTAATTTTCGTTGTTATGCTGACAATGCAATCTCTCTACAGGTATACTAACTTCGGCTTTTTTTTTATATTTTTTATGAAAGAGACACAAAGGATCTTTTCTCGATCAAAAATTAAAAAATTTGCGATTGCAGAATTGCCCTTCGAGCTCCGTGTATCTTTCCGGTGTATGACTACCGAATAGTGCTTTGTACTCAGGCCCAGCTGAATATTCGGCCCTGGACGAAAGGAGAGTCCACGGGAAAGACATGAAATGAAGAGAGGACGAAGGAGGAAGGATCGAGAGAGCGAGACTTCGTTGAGTAGGTCACACCGGTGGGTACCGTTATAGTTGCCGCCGCTGATCTGTGTCACGGGGACCCTGCCAATGACGTAGTCTGGGTGCCAACTTAGGTAATACTGAAGCAGAGAGAATCTCGAGATCGCGTACATCATTCGGAGCAACATGTGTTATCTTCAAATCATCTTTTGAAAATCCATCAGGAATGTCTCAAGACTGCCAATTTATATCTCGTGCGAAAAACAAAATCTCCTTTAAAACCTCCTTCCAGCACTTCTGGGATCTGGAAGGGAAGACTCATCGGGATAGTTTTGCAGTCCCGTAGACGACGTCGTTTATCATCATCATCGCACGATGCGCACTCAGGTGGCGACGAGATCGGCGATATTTGCTCTATGTTAAAGAGAAAAAGCCTACGCCACTGCAACAAGCATCTCTATACAAAAAGATATACGCTGGGATGGTCATAAATAGTGATTTAAGGTTTACGGCGAGACCCGCCGCGCGCGCGCACACAAGTTATACCTAAGCGGTCTACTGACCTCAAAAGCACTGTCACTGGACAAGTGACTCTTTCACTGAATTTCCTCGCTTTTGAAGGCACCGCGTTGCTGCTCACGCCTCTTCTGTATGTTTCGCTTTTGAACGCCTCTCGACCGAATAATGGGCCGATACTCGGTGAATCGAGGTCCTAGGTTTTGTTCAGAGAACTTCATGATGGACATTTGAAAATTATCTTAAAATTTTGAAGATATCTTGAGGAATTATCAAAAATTTTTACCTTCACTCGATTGTCTTATAACATTTCAGGTATTTTTAAATATATATTTTTAAAACCACCTTATGTAGGATCGTTTTTAGAGTATGTGTAATTTTGATCGATGATACAATTTAGAATAGTTCAGGTAATAACACGTAAATAAAAAGAAGAAGCTACTTCTGTAATATAAAGTTGTAGCAACATTGCAGATTTTGCAGCGATATTGCTGCAAATTCTGTGCTGTATGGGTAAGTTCGAATAAATGATAAATCGGTATGTCAATACATACATAATATTGATACGTTTAACATGACATTTATAATTTCATCTATTTGTTCAAATTTTTATATAATTAATGTTAATAGGCAAAAGTCTAATATATGCGCATTCATATACGACATATCATGGGAGAGGCTCATTAGCATAAGAAGCAAGTTGGCATTACGTTCCGTTTATGTATTTATAGTGAAAAAACAATGAAAAAGTTTATTACAAAATATATCTTTGACCGTGTTCGGATTCCCACTTGGATGCTCTTGGGTGTCATGTTGATTCTTGTTTAATGTCCGGTAAACAAGAAGATTGAAGTGATACCGGCACTCAAATGGGAATCTGAACACAGCCTTTTATAATATAGGTACTTTTCCCTAAATTCTATTAAATTAAACAAGTATTATAATAAAAAAAAAGAGAAATATCTGATTCAAACAGAGGCAAGTAAATTTTTTTAGCATTTCATCATTTTGTATGTATTATAATGTTCTTTAACTTAAGAATGTAAATCTAACAGTAAGTAACTGTTATTAATTAAAAGAAAAGTTTATATTACTATACGACATGTTATTTTGAGTAACATAACAATAATTTGTTATAATAAAATGATTAAAATCAGACGTACGTAGTGAGGTATGTACTAGTATAGTATAATAGTGAAATGCGCTGGCTTACATTTAAAAAAATTAGCTTGACTTGCTTAAAGAATTTTTCCATTCATTAAGAGAGTATAAAATCGAAGTTTTAAATTTATATTTTTTAAACTACATACATACAGAATTAAGTTCTATAGATTTTGAAAAAAAAAATGTTTTTCAGGTAATGGACATTTTCTGAGACGTTGCGCGAAAATCGAATAAGGCTATACACAACTTGCATAGCCGTATAAATTTCTCCTAGAAGAAAGATGCATGTAAAATGTGATTGGATAATTTTCTTTATGCATACGTTTAAGCGGCTATACAAGTTTGTGTGGATATACCCTAAGTAGCTAACAGCCGAGTATTGCGCTCATTTCATGAAACCGGTTTGTAATCTATAATTGTGTTAGGATTCTTAGGATTAGTTGAAGGAACCGAAATAAACTTTAGCTTTATTTACTTCGTAATAGCCGTTTTACGCATGCATAATACTTATATAATTGTTGTATATGTCATATTAGAAAATTAATTTAAAACTTTAAAGCCGTTTTCCCCAAATCATGTTTATAAGATCGCGGAAAACTTTCCTGAAAAAACAGCTTTGCGATCGAAATTTTGCATAATTATTATGAATACTTCTATCCAGTTTACGAACCACAATTTGTTTCAATACTTTGACTGCTTTTTTTTTATAAATAGTGTTAAAAAATTCTGAAAATGAAAACATGATTTTTGTTTTACTATTATTTTATTAAATTTCAATATTTTGACCCAAATATTACTTTAGTAACTTCATATACCGATGTAAATTATTGGTTAAAAATATTAAAATATTTTAATTATAGGACTGTCGAGATGTCGTGAATTTTCTATGATATTATTCTTACGCAGAAAAGTGGATCAAAAAAATAAAAAGGTAGAGTGGAGTTGTCATTTTATTTCTGAAATTTATAAAACAAAACTTCTTATTAAAACAAATAAAAAGTTTTATCTTAATCAATTATATATATTAGTTTTATTCGCTCTATCCAGTTTAAAAAAACAGTCAGTTTTTAGGCTTTTAAATGAGAGAAAGATTAAGATTTTAATGTGAAACCTGTGTGAACTCTGATGGAATCATTAAGATACAACACATCGACACGTCTTCATTCAGAATACATAAAAAAAATGTACGTATATACATAAATATTCATAGAACGATAGCGTTTTAATTAGATGTTTACGGAAGCGGTCAAGTTGCCTCTACGAATGCTTCAAAGTATTTTTTGATTGGTCAATTATAGTAAAATTCTTTCTTTCAATTGGTTAATCAAATGCTTCGAATCATTTGTAGTAGCAACTCGACCCACCCTAAGTCTAATTCCAAGAATTCAACATTATTTCTTCACATGTAATTTACTAATTTGTAATCTCGAATTTTCCCTAATAGTACAGATCTCCAAGGGATGTTCCAAAGAACATTCAGAGGATATCCCTATATCCTCTAAGAACGTCCTCCAGAACATCTCTCGAATAAGTGTGCTATTCGAATTATATAAGTACAGATTGCAAAGCTTTTGTATTAAACAAATGTCATAAACAATTAAAGGCAAGAACCAGTCATATTAAAGAATCACTGGGCGATATTCCGTTCTTATTTTAAGACCATCTGTAATGTCTTAAGATACTAATGCAGCTCTCTGATTGGTTCATGAAATCTTAGGACTGTACTTAAGACGGTCTTAAATATAAGACCCAACTATAAATACCACTGAGCTCTCCATTGATCAGTTTTCTCAACCAATTGATGTATTCTTTCGGATCTAGGCTGTGTTCCAAAGTTTACGTCACGTCCACTATAGATTTTCAGTACTAGTAAATTTTGGAACACAGCTCTAAAATTGGCTGATTGGATGATCTAAAAGACAATACAATAACAGCGAACGCTCACTCGACTGTTGAGTCCGCTGAACGTAGCCAATGATTGCGTTCAGCAGACTCAACTGTTGTGAAGCGGATCCGTGAGCGTATGCTGCTATTGGAGTATTCTTCTAGATCATCCAATAGTTGAATCACTCAACAGTTGAATCTGCTAAACGCAATTCTTAAAAAATAAGTTCGGTGTAACTCGTTTAACCTATATGACTCTTGATGGATCTGTGATTGCTGATAAAGTTCAATAAGTAAACAGATACATCCATTGTCAACAACAAGGTTGAAATTGCATTGCGACTTAGGTTAGATCTCGGGTTTCGTGATCTGTACCAGTTTTCTGATATACAGATATGCTATAAGAAGAAATCTACAGTTATACTGAATGTTATCTATCACAACATTATTATATTTTGACAAGAAACAGCTGAGTGAACTAAAGTAACTTACGAAATTATTCTAGATCGCTATTTCTATTACGCTGCAGACAAACGGGAATCTCTCTTTTTAAATGAAAAAATGTCAGCTCTACTCTTTTACACTTTATTTTATTTTCTGATGTCCGGATGTATCATCTATCCACCTACAGAATTCGTCTCAGCGGGATTAACCGTTAAAGATGTTTTTGCGAATTGGCTTGGTAGTGAAAATGAATTTTTTATACAGTATCACATCAGGAGGAGTGTAGCCACGTTACTTCTACACTCTGCACTGCCTCTAGGTAATAGACACGTTTTTCTCTAATTATATCCAGTCATCTGCTTTCATCACTTTTACAAACATTTACAGCATACGATTTTTTCGTACAGGCTATGTTCTAGGACTGTTTTTCTTCAACCATATAGATCCTGGAAAACTATTGTTAATCGATGGAAATTACCTTGCGCCATTGATTGTTCTTTGTGTCACCATTGCTCCACTTTACATCCTGAATAAGGTTCTTGAATGGTCTGCACATAATTGGGCTACACATCCGATAGCACAAAATCTATCTGTGTATAGTAATAATAATACACCATGGACAGCTGTTGCCTCGGATATTAATACAGAATATCGAAGGTTCATTCAAATAGCTAGCTTATACTTAGGAATTTAAATCACACGCAAACATGTTGTAAGTACACTTAGTATTTATACTAAAATAAAATTTTATTTTAGAATAGATAAAATTGTTATTGTCACAAATAGCGTAACTCGTGTCGTAGCGACGGACAATTGGATCATTAAAATCACGCCTTATAAATTGCAAGTGGCGCATCAAAGTGATGCGACTTTAGTCGTGAATAAAAGCGACGTCCATTTTATGTCGCCGACAACGAGAGATCAAGTTCAGTTTATCAATATACAGGTATAACAATAATTCATAAATCACTTCCAGTTGTTGTACTGAATGAGTGATCCATGTATCGTTTTCTAGGTGAAACCTATGCGAGCTATGGCACAGGAGTTTGACATAAGATTAAATGCGTTGGATTTCAAGGATTTGCAGGATAAAGTTTCACGGCCGATTGCTATACTGCACAATATAACGTTCCATAGAACTTTGCTTGATAGATTTATCGATACTTTTAAAGAAGAGGTCAATAAAAATCCATTCTACGATACTGCCGAGGTATCAAGTAACATACTGTCATCACCTATTATCAACAATTATTTTGTTTTTTTCTCTAATCTGTTCTGTATGCCTTCAATTATTAATTTATATAGGAATTAAATCAATGTATTGGATGTATGCAAGCGTTGTCGAATGTAAAATTGAATAGATTATGCAGCAATGCCGATACTAGAAATCTTGACGATTGCACGACGTGTTATTGCCGTCCAATGTGGTGTATAGAATGTATGGCGAAATGGTTGGTACTTTTTACTGTTATTATTCTAGATTATTTTTAAGTTAAGTTATGTATTCAGATAATATTTTTAATTATTATTATTATTGAACAGGTTTGCTTCGAGACAAGACGAGAATGCACCAGAAACGTGGCTGTCCTCCAAATGTACCTGTCCTCTTTGCAGAGCACGATTCTGTGTTTTAGATGTGTGTCTTGTAAGAAATCCTAACAATTAATATCAAAACAATGGGCATTATTTTGAACTGTTCTTATGAAATAATTCTTATTTGTACCAATTTTAATACAATTGTTAAGAGAATAATATCTAAGATTCATTTAGATGAATATTTTTTTTACATAAAAGTCACATATTGTTCTTATAAAAAGTTCACTCATTACATACAAATTAATGAATAAGTCAACTTTTGTGAGATTAGTAGAATAAAAATCAATTTACTTTATTATCACAAAAAACTGATAAACATCAAATATTATGAAGTTTAACATATTATAAAGATACATACAAAGTTTACTATTTTAATAATAATAATAAATATCTGCTGAGGCAGTAATTTATGAAAAGTTGTTTACCGATTTGTCTCACGTTTCATTGTATAACAACACTGTATGCAATTATATATATACAATGATAACTCGACAATATATATTTTACATAAAATAAATTATTTACAGAAAATTCAAAGTGTCATGAGTCTAGGTGCAATATTCATTGCCATTAGTTCCTGGAAAAGTAACTTTGCCGCATACGGCAGTCTAATTTGTGCAATTTGTGTCTTGTTTTTACAACCTTTGCATTCGAAAGTATTATTCCGCAAATTTGCTATAGCAATTAAACCACAGAAATTACATATGTGAATTCTATATGGATCCGATACTTCAAACAAACGTTCTCGTAGAAATTGTGCTGCGCCGTGAGAAATTTGGCAATCTCGTTCCATCTCTCCAAAACGAAGTCCACCATCCCTAAATAAATATACAAGCATGTATATATATATGTGTGTGGGTGTGTGTGTGTGTGTGTGTCAGGATTGGGTAAGTTAACTTTTTTTAAGTTAAATTAAAGTTAACAGCCTCGAAAATTTAACTTACGAGAGCATGTCACAACTGGAACCAATTAGATTCTTCTTGAAATATGTTATTAAACACAAAAATATAAGAGATACGTATTTGTTTATATGCTAACTCATATTTAACGGGTGAAACTCTTTTGGAAAAAAAAAACAGTATTTCTCTTTCGAACCGAATATTGTCGGAAGTATAAAAGATGGAAAATTTTTTATCAAAAGTACTTAATGAAAAAAATATTTTATTATAGTATTTTGAAAAGTTCTCGAGATAAACTACGAGAATATGTACTAAAAAATAGAGGGATTTGTTTAAAAAATTCTAAATAACCTTGACATCCAGAGTTAAACTAATGGTTATCTATGTCTCCCTCAAAGTCACAAAATTTTTGTCTGAAATATTTTTCGATTTAATGCAGTATTTCTAAAATATTTGAGTGGAGCTTTTAAAATGGAATATTCTGTATAATGGTTTAAATATGGCCAATTGCAGACTACGTTTAGGTCACCCTTTCTTTCCGTGGAAGCGTCCCGTTTTACCACGATTGACCACACAACCACTCACAGCGACCAGTATCTAAAGTTTTTCTGTTATACGAGTGCTGTAAGTGGCCAATTGCAATGTGGTCAAATGGGCCCATTCACTGTCACATCACCTGTGTATTAGTGAGCGTTTATCAGTACTCACTAACACTACCACACGCGCAACTCATGAACATGTGGTCATTTAAACGTAGTCTGTAATTGGCCAAATTTAAACCATTGTTATTTCAAAGATTATTGCTTAAAACAAAAATTTACAAATAATATTTTTACTTAATTTTCCGAGAACTTTTTTGCTATAGTATTTTGAGTCACGAATTTTGGGATACCCTGTGTATGTGCATGTATAATATGTATGTATGAATGTGTATATATATATATATGAAATAGTGTGACAAATTAATTTAAAGTAACAAGAATAACAATTACCTCGCTCGTCCCTCCATAGGTTGTCTAACTAAAATTTGCACAGGTCCTCTTGCTCTACTATGGATCTTGTCGTCTACCATATGCTTCAAACGTTGATAATACGTCGGTCCTAAAAAGACTTGCGCGTTGATTTTACGACCTGTATGTCCGTTATACATAACTTCATTTCCTCGCAAATGATAACCATATTCTTGCAAAAGCGTGGAAATCTTTTGCACATTCACAGCGTCGTTAAACGGAGTAGCGTCACCAATCTCTCCTAAAAATGCATCAAATTTGTAAGCATACTTTGTTTTTAAACTTCAGTAAATTACCGTATTACCTTTATTGGCAGAAACTTTTCCTTGAATGCATTCAATCAAGTGACCAATAGTCATACGAGAAGGGATAGCGTGAGGATTGATAATAATGTCGGGTGTAAGACCTTCGGAAGAGAAAGGCATGTCTTCTTGTCTGTACTGAATTCCGCATGTACCCTTTTGTCCGTGACGTGACGCAAATTTGTCGCCGATTTGCGGAATACGTACACTGCGCACTCGGATCTTGCAGAATTTATATCCTTCGCTATTCAACGTCAACATCACCTGATCAACAATACCGGTCTCGCTGTTTCGCAAGAAAGTCGACGCGTCACGTTTCGTAAAACGTTTTGTTGTACTGTCCAGCTAAAAGATAAACAAAAAGAATTAAAATATTGCTATTGTTATCTTTTTCTTCCATTAATAAAGTCTATTTGTTGAAAAATAATTAAAGGACATTTTACTTCGTCATCCGTTTCTGGTAAAGTTATCGTTTTTCCTATGATTACATCATCACCAGATACTCGAATTCCAGGCGCAATGATCCCGTCATCGTCCAATTTGTCATATATAGCGTTGCGCATTCCTGAACAAGTTAAGCGCGAGGGTTTCTCGAATTGTTCCTCCTGGTCGCCAATTTTCTTCGACTCGGATTCTTTATAAGAACGATAAAACACCGATCTGAAGAAACCCCTCTCAACTGCACTCGCATTCAGGATAACGCTGTCTTCTTGATTATATCCCGTGTAACACAGGATTGCAACAATGCTGTTAATGCCAGCTGGTAATTCGCGAAATCTAAGATATTCCATAGATCTTGTTGTAACCAATGGTTTATGAGGATAATACAGTACATGAGCCAAAGTGTCCATGCGCACGTGAAAGTTTGTAATGTATACACCCATAGCTTGTTTACCCATAGCGCTCTGAAAAATAACAGTCTCTATGTACTGTATCTCGTAAAAAAACAAACGTTTTTCAAAGAAAATGCAGCGACTAAAATATGCTGCTAATACCTGATAAGTGTTCCTAGGACTCTGATTATGATCGGGGAATGGTATAATGGAAGCGCACACACCCAAAATCATCGCTGGATGAATCTCGCAGTGCGTGTACGTCGTACAATATGCGTACTCTTTCTCTTGTCTGAGATCATCGGGTGACATAGCTATCATAACAGTTTCTTCCTCCAGGGTATCTATATATTCCACTACTCCGCTACCTACCAATTCTTGCCACCTGTAACATTATACAAATCGATTGTCATATTTATAAGAACAGACGACTTAGATTATCAATCAATACTTGAGACAGAATAACTTGAATAATTTTTTAAAAATATGTTGTACTTAGTATATATTGTAATATTTTGATTTTACATTTATATTGTATTTTTTTCTAATTATGATTTTGCTGCCAAGATGTGTCTGCAATGCAATATATCATACAGAAAAAATACTCAATTATCGTACTCACTTTAAAAACTATTGCTCTGCATATATCAGATTTCTTACAATTAAACAGACACCTTGCGTTATAAATTTTCTTACGGACGACTCAAAAGCAGATCGAGCGCTTACCCGTCATTGTTGTAATCTCTTTCCTTCAACATGTTAATATGTCTTGTCTGCAGTAATAAATTTTGACCTTCCACTATGAGCAAAGGTCTACTGATTCTACCAGCGTCCGTGTATATTCTTATCTCACGGTCTCTAATGTCGCGAACCATCGATACTTCCGACACGATAATATCCATCTGCCTTCTCAATTTGCGTAAAGTGGCCATCAATTGATCCGGATCTCGGTGGATGCCGACCCAACATCCGTTCACGAATATCTTTGTAGCATCGGCGATTGCGCTCGGTGCTATCTCTTCTAGATTCTCCATGGACCATTCCTCCAAGAATTCCAGAATAGGAGATGGCTGCGATCCAACGCTTATATACGCCATCAGGGCTAGATTTTTTACTAATCCTACAGCAGCACCCTCAGGAGTCTCCGCGGGGCAGAGCATACCCCATAACGTGTTGTGCAATTGACGTGGTTTGGCAAGTTTACCATCTCTTCCAATAGGCGAATTCACTCGTCTTAGATGCGACAGTGTCGAAGCGAAAGTCAACCTATTCAATACCTGTGACACACCTGCTCTCGCCTGATGCGCCTTCTTCTGGTCGCCCCAATTACCAGTGGCAAGCGAGTATCTCAGACCGTCCGTTATAATTTTTGTCTTGATGGCCAACTCGAGATTAAAGTCCTTCCCTCGATCTATGAACTTCTGTGCGTACAGACGTACCTCCTTCATTAGGTTCTTGAACAAACCTCGGAACAAAAATGCCAACAGAGGCCCGGCCAAGTCCAATCTCTTATTACCGTAATGATCGCGGTCGTCCAATTCCCTTCGTCCTAGAGATGCCGACAATAATCTATGGACCATATAGCCGAGGAAATATGCTTTCTTGGTTTCACAGAAATCGCTTATGCCAACGTGAGGCAGCATTTCCTTTTGTAAGATCTCTCGGGCGTATTTAATTCGCTTCTCCTTTGTTACTCCTGGCTTGGCACCTCTAGTACCGATAAAATTCAAAGCGACATTCTGTTCCTGTATGACGAAAGCTTCATCTAAGGATGGCTTCACCATTTCCATCATCTCAGGGTCGTCGAAATCATAAATAATATGTTCGAGGATATCGCGATCGGCCACAAATCCGAGTGCTCGAAAAACCACCATTATGGGAATTTCCTGCTTGATGTAAGGAATAATAGCGATGATGCGTTGGCCTATAGCAGATTTTTTAATACTGGCACCACTCTTGGCCATCATATTGATCCATAGAGTCGAAGTTGGACGGGAGCTGTGTTCCAAGCATGAGCGTATTTCCGCCTTGTAAGCATACTTACCGTCTTTCATACTGAATACGTAGACGGTGTTCGTCGCCATTTTTTCCTGAGCTAT